CTTTATGGCTTCTGTAAATTCCTCAAGGCTGGGTTCAGGTTCTTGTTCTGTACTTGTAGCTAAGTCTGTTAAGGATAGGTTATTACTTTCCGAAACAATGTTGAAAAGTTCTTGAAAATGTTCCTGCCATCTTTTGATAATGCCCTCTTTTTCTACTAGTAGTTCCCCATCTTTGTCTTTACACATGTTGATTCGCGCTTGAAAACCCTTTGTTTGATGCTTGATGTTGTGGAAGAAACCTTTAGCATTTCGATCTGCAAAATCCCTATTGATGTTTAGGATTTCTCTATTGACGTCTTCTTTTTTTTTCTTTTGCATATTATATTTGCTATTTTTCGTTTGTTTTTGTAGTTGTTTTGATTAGTAGTGCTGTTGTCTTTTAACATTTGTTCCCTGGCTACATTCTTAGCTTCCACTGCGACTGCACAGTCGTTATCAAACCAATTGTTGCGTCTACGATTTCTTTTCACACCAACGGTTTCTTCTGCTGCTTTTGTGATTGAATTTGCAAAAACTTTCCAATGCTCGTTTATATTGGTATAGTTCGTGATATGTCTAAGTGATTCGTTTACTCTCTGCTCATATTGATGGACCGTTTCGCTATCATGTAACTTGTCAACGTCCCATTTTTTCCTTCTAGATCCGTAATTTCTACGCACGCCCTTTAGACTTTGTCTTACTGTGGCTTTTACCAGAAAATGGTCGCTATCGACATTCGCACTTCTACAGCTACGAACATCAAGGATAAACGATTTCTTAATATGGTCTATAAGAACATGATCTATTTGGTTGGCTGTTGTTGAGCCTGGTAGCTGCCATGTCCCCTTATGTATGTTTTTGTGTGGAAAATGCGTGCTGCTAATGTACATACCGGAGCCAGTTGCGAGCTGACATAACCGTTTACCATTGTCTGATGACACGGTGTGTAGTGAGTGTAAGCCAGCTACATTAGAAATGTATTGTTCTCTTCCAATTTTTGCATTGAAGTCTCCAAGTAATATTTTTGTATCATGTGATGGAATTTTGTTCAATGTCTCGTCTAAGTCTGTGTAAAAGGTCTCTTTAGCGATATCATCTGCGTCTTCTGTTGGAGCATAGGCATTTATCAGCGTAAATTTGCTAAACAGTCCTTTAAGGGAGATTACACATATTCTGTCATTTATTGGTCTGAAGCCCAAAAACGATTTTTCCACTCGTTTGTTGAGCAGAAATCCAGTCCCCGACCTACCAGACCTTTCAGCGTTACCACTAAAACGGAATTTTGTACCGTTGCACCACATCCTTGCCACCGTACTTCTTGGACCGCTAGCACGTCAACGTTGTACTTTTCCATTTGCTTAATTGTTTCTTGTAGTGCTCCTGCTCTCAGCAGCGTACGTACGTTCCATGTTCCCAGAATTATATCACGCTTCCGTTTTTTTTGACTTGTTTTATGTTTTTTGTTTGGTTGATGATGAGTCACAATATGTTTGACGAGGCGGGTTGTGAACCCAGCGCTCAACCCTTTTGGCCCAGGGAGAGGACTGCACGATTTGTTTGTTCTCTGCTAGTATCCGATTTTCTTTTTCTTCTGTTCAAGTGTTTTGAGATACACGGGACAGTTTTTGTCAAGCACTGCATGATTTTCGTCAAGGCCCAAGCCTAGTTTCTCATTTGCACGTATACAATTTATGCATTTGTTAACCGGCTCCTCATTGCAATCGCGAGTGCGATGTCTTTGATGGCATTTACGGCAACATTCGTCGTACCTGCAGTAAGGCGCTCTATGGTTGAAGCCCTGGCACTTGTAACATATCATTAAATCCGTTCCATCGTAAATTTTACACTTTTCCCAGCCAATGTTTAGCTTTTCTGCTTCCATAGCTTTTGTGAAAGTATTCGAGTCCGTTTCAAATATTGCGTTGTAAAATACTTTATTATCTCGTTTTATTTCGTACATTTTTGCTAGTTTTAGTTCACAATCAGAGAGGCACTGATTTTGTTTTCGCAATTTTTCGATAATTTCCTGTTCGTTATATTTAAAACTGATTCTGGATATAGTAAATCGTGGCTTAATAGAGTTTGGAACTTTTACTTCATAATTCTCGCTCATAGCGCCTTCTACAGCACATTTTATTTTTTCACGCTCGGAATCACTTTCTGCCTCAATAACAATGGTGCCGTTGTTTCTTTCGTAGATGTTAGCGATTTTCAAATTTTCCGGGTTTATCTTGTTGTTTAGGTCTTGCTTTGTTTTTGCAATATTTTGTTTGGATTTAGGTTTGATCACGAGAGGCACTTCTTTTCTGAATTCTGGCACTTTTTCTACCCTTTTGGGTTTGTTTGCTTTTAGTGCTTCGGCATATGAAGCTTGCTTTGAACTGTGCGGCTGTAAAGCGTTACTTTGGATTTCCTTTAGCTCTTCACAAATTTTTTTGTTTTGCTTATTATTGCTTTCGATTTCATCGCGCACTTTCTCGTTATGGGTTTTTATCGTTTCTGCAATTTCACGAAATTTTTTAACTTCTATGGCACCCTCTTCACATACCCGTTTCACTTCTTTCATATTTTCCAAACGCTGGCTGAATTTTTTTTCGACTGCTGTTAGCAAGAGTTTTAGCTCATTTTCGCTTTTTTGCTGGGCTTGCATTAAGCTGTCATGACTTTTAGCTAGTGCTGTTTCGAAATGGTTTTTGTATTCGCCCAGTTGTTCACAGAAGCGTTGACCATCCTTTGCCATTGTTCGTTGCATTTTTTCAAGCACTTCATCGATGTTGTGGATGAGTGTAAAGCAGTCATCGCACATAAATCTTACAAAGGGCCTATCCAAAACTCCTTCCGCGTAATCGTCTAAGCCACTACATTTAACCGTGCGGTGGAATCGTTTTTGGCATGCCCCTTGACATATTATGAAGCTATCATTGCGAAGCGACTTATTACATTTCGAGCAATCCATATTGTCGCGCCGAACTCGCGACCGAAAATAAGAACGCTAAAAACGTACCAAACCGCACGAGTCTGATTAACTGATCCTTAGTTTTCACTAAGAATCAACTATATAAGTATATATAAATATTAGTTAATATATAAAAATTAATATGAAATGATGTTAATTTATAGTTTATGCGTCCTTTCGCTTATTTATGTAATTTAATTATTTAGCAAAAATTTAGAAAAAAAAATTATTTAGCAAAAATTTATTACACTATTACACAATAACACGTATTAGTGTTGTTTTTTTTATCGATGTGCAACACTGTTTTTCTTATATTATTTTCGAGCTTTTGGGCTTCAAGTGCTGTCTCTATCAGCTGTTTTAAGTGAATGTGATGGAAGATGGAAAAACAAATTTATCAAACTGATTTTGCAAATTAAATTTACTTTGCTAGAATACACAGTGATTTAAATTTACAAAAATTTCACTTTTCACCCCGAAATAGTATACTAGCTTAATAGTTTAAACTTTAAAGTTACTTGCTCAGGTGATTTTAGCAATTTTCGGGTCACTTCCGACGCTTTTTCGGTCAAAAACATTAAAAGTCACGGAGCGGTTTCAAATTGCGCGCACTATTTCGAACACCTTGAAATATATCTCTTTTTTTTTTTTTTTTTTTTTTTTTTTTTTTTTTTTTTTTTTTTTTTTTTTTTAAATTTGTATAAATTTCAATTTATTTTTCATTATCTTCTATCACTTTACAAAGCAAAACAATGTTTGTACGTTGATTCAAAATTATATATGAATGAATATTCATATTGCCAAATAATATTATAAACAATATATAGAGTACTGTTCTACTTTGTATAAACGAGTTAGTTATATAAATAATTCAGTTTGATCCACTATATATACATCCATATCTTAACTTACTTCAAAAAAAAAAAAATAAAAAAAAATATAGAGAAATAAATTAAATTAAATAGTTTAATTACTAAATGTACAATTATTCGTTATGAAAAATCAACCGAGCAATTTAGTAAAATCTTACTTAAATTCAATTTTTAACAGAAGTAAAAGGACCAAGCAATTAAAAATTTGTCAAAATACAAATCGCATAAAATAAACCTAAATAAGCTATATTTAAACGTAGTACATTGTAGCACAAGTTCTATAAATACTTCTTAAAAGGTATTACACAGTCAGTCGGTATACTTTGGCTTAGCCTTGCACGTATAGCTTTCCGAGTTTGAATATTGTATTTAACAAATTCTAAAAAATTATTAAAAAATGACAATATAAAATATACTAAGATGCATGCCAACAATTTTTACATTATGAAGAGTTTGTTTGTTAGGCGACTACTCCATCAATTCGCGTAACCTTACAGCTTGCATTGATACCCGTGTCGTGTTTAAATATAGATTAATGGCATAATACTGCATAAAATAACTTCATATAAAAACTATTCTTAATTCTCATTTTGCTTCGACGGAAACCAATTTTCACTTTAACGTAGTTTCCTTCGTTTTGGTACGTTCCGTCCATCTGTGGAATTGGCTAGCGGCAACTGTATCTGTTGTACTGATAAGTGTGGCTGCTGTTCTAATAGTTTTTCTGGTGTTATTTGTGCTTCTTGTTGTGATTCTTCTTCGTCTGAGATCAGTGATATGCTTAAGTCGCTGGAGAGTTTTAATGACACAGGTGCTGGTTGTAAAGTTGCTGGTGGTACATTTGCTATATTTTTACGACGTTAAATACATAATATAATAATAAAGCTTGATGATGATTTAAAAGCTGTCTTACTGAATTAAGCATCCTGAACACGTTGAGAAAGTCAATACTATAATCGCATTAATTATAAGAGAATCGTTCATTAGTTATTTATTTATAATTTATGCCATTAGATATTTCACTCTTAAATGATTTTTAACTGGACTTCAAAAGATATTTAAGTATTTAAGGGACAACATCAAACGAAGATTTACTCAATCAATACGAGAAATGACTTTTCACTTTTCAAATTATATTAATTTAATAATTTTATAGCGTTAATATTCTTTAAAATATCTTATATAAAATTTACCTTGTTATAGGACCCGGTGACTCGCTAACTGCTTTCAGTGATCTTCTTAAATGTTTATGGAATGTACCGAGTATAGATTCTTTACGTGCAACTGATGCACTATTTTCACTACCACCACCGCAACCGTCACCACCATCAAGCACACTGTCACCGCCGTCCTTACCACAAATCGGTGCTAGATGATCCATTGTAAGTGGACTAGTTTCTTTTTGGCCAATTGTGTGCCTATCACTAATAAGTTTACCGTCGGAATTTGTCATTCTAACGATCACAGCTCCATTTCCTGTACTATCCTTATCGTCGAGTAACTTTGTCCAGGCGTGCTCGCCTATATTTTCTGTTTTGTCCATAATCATTCTGTGGATTGTGGTTCTTTGCGTGCACTCGTATATAAATTCAATTGTTTCGATAAATGCATGCAATATTTTGGCAATTTACAGCAAAAATTTTGCAAACTATTTTTGCAATACTCAATTTTGTTCAAGCCGAGCACAATCATCGAGTTAGTTGCGTGCCAAGTATTTGGGTGCGTTTGAAAATTTTTGAATTCGCGCGGTAAACTGTAAAGAAATGAATGTCGTTTATTTATAATATTTCAATAACATTGAATTTAAAAATATTTAATTTTTTAGTAATTAAACTAAGCAGTTAAAAAGCATTCATTAAAGAAACTCTGACGATTGTTTACGTTCCGAAACTCGCTAAGTCGTACGAATAATTTATAACAAAACAATAATATGGGGAAGCACCAAAAGATTACTAATAATATAAGACACATACAGGGTGTAATTTATGAATCTCTCACATTTTTAACATATTTTAAGCAAATTTATGAAGCTACTATATTTTACATACCACATGGCACATACATACTCGACGCCGAATATAAATTAATGCAACAAACTAGTATTAACTAGTTCAATGTAATTATAACTGCTTTTAACCAGTTCGAACAGGTAAAAATTTAAGTTTATTCAAGCTTAAGTGTAGTATAGGGTGTATAATGCTGAGCTTTCAGAGTTTGTTTACTTTTTATCAATTTCGAATATACACACATATCACTGAATTTCTTGTTAAAATGCAAAATCATTATAAATATTCTTCTCATAATTGACTTGAAATAAAAACCCGAATCTTCTTCGTTGGATATTGGCGAGTGAATCACACAACTCGTCCAAAAGCGCCAAGAAACGATATACCACATTAATAATTCGACATATCAAAATAAAGTCACTTATGCATATATATATATATATATATATACATATATCTTAATATAACAAAATAAAAACAAATAAAATAAATAATATATAAAGTCAAAATCAGGAATGCAGTGTCAACAAATTCATACGTAAGCAAGTTACGCATTCGTCAGCATTTAAATTTATTAATACGCTACGCTCATTAAAAATTCGCAAATCACAGCACGTCATCGATTTTTAAAGATATCAAAGAAAAAAAAAATATATTAAGTATTTTTTGAATATTTTTATATCTATTTAGTATATACTTCATACATTATTCATTTTTGTTTAAAAGATGAATTTGAATGAATGAATGTGAGAGAGGAAGCAATGTTGTTAGAACATGATAGCATTTGTCACAGTCGATATGGTTCATCCATACAATAACCTGAATTACATAAAGAGCCCAACCCTTCAAAATAGTCTCTTATTTTTCCCATGCAATTTCTACAGTTTCATAAATATCGTAGAATCTCAAAGTGCTTAATATGGCGAATATGTTGTATAGGGAAGTACTTTATAAAGAAAGTCACAAAATTTAGCAACGGCTGTTATACACGTATGATACATTATCTTAAAGCAAGACCAATTTTTTTTTTTAGTTAATGAAAACAGTAATTCTTTAATATGTTGTTGACAAATTCATTATTGGTTAAATGTTAATTAATTAATAATAATAATAGTCAGTGCACTCCATCACTTCTATCTTAAAGCCTTAACCCACTTTGTACTGGTATGCTCGACGGAATCGATTGTTTATGAATGGTTCTTTAGTGGATGTTTCTTTATAGTAATGAATTTATTGAAATAAATACCGTTGAAATGCTTAAATGCTTAAACTTATCGTATATAACATTAACTCGAGATGCATCTTGCCGAAAACTTTCTAAAGCCAATAGTCTCTGCAAATCTGAAATCAATGTACAATGTGATAATACTAGAAAAACACTTTAATTCATCGATTCATCAACTGTTTAACCATCGAAACAACGTGTTCAACTCTATCAGTAATTCCATTTGCATGAATTCAAATGCAACGTCCTAAATGAGGCAAGCTACAGGTAGATGTATAATCACAGTAGTTATTAAAAATTGAATGTAAATCGGTTTTTTGTCTACAAATATTCTTCTTTTTAATCAAATGAAGTAATGAAAACAAAAAATGAGTACTTTTTAAAATTTCTAGAAACAAATAACTGAAAATTGAGAGTTGTCGAAAAGTAAAGAGACATCACATCCCAAGCATTCCTTCATAAACTTACGATTAATCTATTAACTTGCAGTTGTATACAAGTAATTAAGAAGAATTCTATTTCCAAATTCCATATACAGTAAGACCCCCCTTAACGCTGTTTCGTTTAGCGCTCTTTTATTTCAACCCGAACATTTAAGCAGATGTTTGAAAAAACAGACGGAGAAGAGATGCTTTCAATAAGAGAATTTTGGAAAAACTACAATATTATGAATGTTGTAAAAAACATAAACCTTTCTTGGAATGAGATAACAGAAAGATCTTTCAAGAGATTACAGAAGAACATTTGACAAGATTTAAGTAAGAGCGAAGACATTGAACCCTTCGTTCGATATGGATGAAATAGTGATAGAAATACTGGAATTAGCGAAACAATCCGGTTTAGATGAGGTAAAAGTGGAAGACGTCAAAGAAATAGTTCAAGAAACAGCAGATAGTTTTTCTAATGATGAGCTCAAGAAATTAATTTAGCAAGAAGAAAACAAAAATATTGATAGGAGTAATTCCGAAGAAGAGCAAAAGGAGCTTTTGATGTTGTTTGTGAAAAAGACCACTACAACTGAAATTATAAATTAATTTGTTGAAATTGATCCAAATTTTGGCAGGAGTTCAAAAGCAAGACGGGGTGTTATAGATGCTTTATCCACTTATAAACAATTTCTAACAGAACGCAAAAGAAAAATCGCAAACTACATTAAATGCCTTCTTGACAAAAAAGCAGAAGATTGGAATCACAGAATAGACTGAATAACATTGTTTTTGTTTTTGTAAGAAATAAATATTTGGTTCTATTATTATTAAAAGCAACATAATTATTAAATTTAATACCTAAGCAATTTTCTATAATTTTCCCCTAACCCCAATATTTACATGTTAACATAGCCTCGTTTAGCGCTGTTTCGCATTACGCTGTACTTTGATGGAACATATCCCAGGCGTTAAGCGGGGTCTTACTGTATATCCCATTTTATGGAAAAATAAATTACAGACAAAATATATATTATCATAAACCAGTTTAATACTTTTATTATCACAATTAATTCAAAATCTGATATCGATTTACTATAAGTGTAATCGGACATTTGAGCTTTTGCAATATATTTTAGCTGTAAGCACTTAATCATTGATATGACTTTAACATACATATGATAAGAAATACATGGGGAAACATACAACTTATTAAAAGTGAATTACTTTCTAAAGAACTAGTATACATATCAAGAGATACATATAAACATATATTATCGTTTTTAAAAATGAACATATAAATAAATTAAAAATACTAATTATGATTTGTTTGACTTTGATTTAGTTTTGCATTATCAAATTTAAAAGAAGTAGTAATTTTCTTTAAATAATTTTTATTTGACACACCAAAATTTTTAACACTTTTTTAATTGTTATTACTATTATTAATAATCTTTTTAGTTATTCATATATTAGCAACACTTTAAAAATAAAATATATTCACAATGAAGATTTATCATTTCAGGCATTTTTATTTTGCCATAGTACAAGTTCTGTAAGACTATTGGAATTTGTTTAAAATCGCTTAAAATTATTATAAATTCAAATACAAGCATTTTGTTTTATATTAAAGTTTTTTAAATTATTTACATAATTAATTATTTTATAATTTGCGGTCTGAAAGACATTCCACTAAAGTTTTTGCAAATTCGAACTGATTTTTATTTCTTATCAATTTTTTATTGTTTTAAATCCTAACTCTAGCAATCACTTATTTCTACTAAACTATTCTAAAAATTATATTAATTGTTTTGAGAACTTATTAAAACTGCAATAATATTTATGACATTTATAAGTGACGTCATTTCTGTGAGAAAAAAATTGTTGCCTTTAAATATGTATTATCGGTGTTAAAAAACTACATTCAAAATCATTAAAATATTTTGGACTACTCCCTGACTGAAAGTTGAACTGACGCTATTCAAAAAAACTCTCCAGTAATTCAATTGATTAATTGCTTTAAGTTCTAGGTAAAACCATTATTTAAAAAAAAATTTTAGATAAATAATATTTTATTAATCTATAAATCATTCAATTCAGTCACGTACCACCACTTGTGTTCCAATATACAATAAGCATGTAAATTGATTTTTCGGAAAAATTAAAACTGAATATTACACAGCATTACTGTAAATCTATTAAGACTCAAAAATAAAAATAAATATAATACAAATAATACAGTCAAACTTCCATAACTCGAAGTACCATTTTGCAAAGAAAACATCCGAAAATATTGAGACTTCGAATTAGAGAATTTTTTTTATTTTTGAGAGAAACTTGAATTACATTTTAAGATATTTATTTATTTATTTGAAATCAAATATAGCATAGAAGTTACAATAATGTAAAATATTCAAAAATAGGGTTTGGGATTTTTTCAGTAGAAAAAGATTCCAATTTAGTCATAGCCTTATAGTGATCACCAGTTGAAGTATCATTCGTTTGTAAATAAAAATTCAGAATTTTGAATGAGTCTTCTACTTAATTCTTGGAAGGGTATTTGAACAATTTCAGAATCGGATCCACTCTGATCAACTCTGAGCTATAATGCTCAATAATATCGTCACCCGTGGGAAAGCTTGATGTACAAATTTCATTCTCAAGCTCAATATAAGCGTTAAGAGTAGCATTGAAAGTTAGTTTATTTACTTTAAACCACGCTTCCAGCGACTGGTATTTACACAAAGAAGCAGGATAAGAAAGGAAAAATCAAATATTTGATTTGGAATAAAGGACTTCCCCTAACACCAAAATGGATTCATTATTAAAACAAAAATTCGACTTATAGAATGCACTTTCCCACATGCCTATCGGCAAGTGACAATATTTTTATTCGAGTTATAGAGAAATTCATATTATAGTAGTTCGAGTTATGGAAACAGATTTGCATGCACCCTTTTTAGTTCGAGTTATAGAAACTTCAAGTTATAGAAGTTCGAGTTATGGAAGTTTGACTGTATATAATATTAAATTAAAATATTATTATATATTGTATCTATTCTAATAGTCTATCTAAATTATTATAATGACTAAGATAATTGGTCACAAAAACTTCACCTAGAGATAAAATCTTAGTGAGACCACTGTTCCAATTACATTTATTACTTCACATCTTCAAAAAGCGTCTTACCTACATACGTATATTAGTTATACAATTTCTATATTACATACTAAATAAGTATAGTATATTTAATAAGTAAAGAGATATAATAAATGAGAGTAAATAAAATTACGAACTTCGCAATCATCACACTTTTTGATATCCTACAAACCCGACACAATCTAATTAACACATGTTATCTGGTAGTGGCATATATTTTTATCTGGTACTTAACTTGGATATTTTAAAATCTAACAATTTGTAGAAAATGTAGTTAATTTAATATTACATGTATTACGGAAATATGCATTAAAAGTAAAAAATATATTTCATAATTAAATAATAATGAGTTTGAACAATTTTCTGGTTCTTCGGAAATGTTTCTACCTATCAATATGTATGAATGCAATTCTAAACCGAGCAATGTAGTAGAAGAATCTCGTATCATTTATATTTAATGATTTATATATATATTTAATCCCGGTTATTATATTTAATATTATTTATACACATATACACACATATAAAGCAACATAAATATTTTTAAATTAAATTCATAATAATTAAGATTTTTATATCCTATAAAAAGATGTCTATTTTGAATAGAAAAGGTAGTAATAGATTGGACATTTTCAAATCCCCAGAATTCAGTATCAAATCAATTAGAAAACTTTTTAGCATTTGTTTCAAATTCATGGTACATACATATATACTAACATTTGTATAGTTAATAAGAGACTGAGATGTTAGACTCACCACATTAATAGCAATATTTAATACCACTCTTTTTAATTTAGATTGCATTATTTGTATATAACTAATTACAAAATTTTACTTTAATTTCTTGATTGTAAATAAACTGTTTGTCAAAATACTTTCAAATAAATATAATGGGTAAATATTGTATCTGAGTTTGGCTGCATGGTTGCCCTAAAATTCAACTTAATTAACAATTGTAATTAATTTTTTAACTTTAAGTCATGTAAGCGATTATATACTCAGAATGTAATGTTATTCAGTTCGAGTTTGTTATAAACAAATCTGATTTTTATTACATAAAATAAAATTTTCAAAACATATTTTAATCAGAAATTAATCAGACAAGAATGTCGAATCAGGGAATTGCAAACGTTCAATAATTTAGATATTTATATAGTTCTTGAAAATTTTATTACTTTTATTAATATGCATAATAAAACAAATCTACAGAATATAAATTTAAACTTATGGTACCCATATATATGTAGAAGAAGGACCTGTCAATATATTTTCATATCCTTTATGCTTTAGTTAAATAATTTTTAAACACAATTCATTCTCATGAAATTACTGTCAATTTTTATACAAAAAATAATATAATTATTGTTTTTTTTTAATGTAAGTCTCACATTCAAGAATTTATTATATACTATATAATTATATAACACTGTGACTATTAAAAAAACGTTAAATATATATATGTATATATACAGTAGTTGTATATTTATCAAAATAAATTTTTTTTACTTGTATTCGAATACAATAATACTTGATTATGAATATTATAACAAAATTGTAATATTTCTTTGGGAAAGAAAAATAATCCTTTTGAAAGATTTTATTTATACTTTAAATTAAAGTATTTTAAAATAAATTTAAAAAAGAAATATCTTTGATACTTAGAAAGCACAAATACACCAAAATTTCAACAGTTGAAGAAGATATAAAAATTGCCTTCAAATCACGAAACCGTATTATGGATATATGTTAGTTATAATATAATAAAATTCGAAATTAAGTTCAGACTATTTTTAAAATTAGACTAGATAGTCTTATTCTTTGACATATTTTCAATCACAGCAGCATTTCAAAAGTTAGAATTTTAAAACACTTCACTACTTATAAACACTGAGACCACTTTGTCCACTCAATTAAACCAACCAAATAACAAACCAATATTTTAGAAGGAGTGGGCTCAACTAACATATTTACCAAATACCATTTCGGTACGACTAACGATAACACAGAACAATTAACCGGAAATCCGTCGCTAATCAAGTTTGTGACTGATTTCTACGTTTTCGTTAATTTGTGAATATGTCTTCATTAATAATAATAATATGTAATAATAACCAGAGAATTATTCTTTAAAACACAATTATGCGTATATTGCTTCGAAAAATCAAGATATATAGGGAACACTACCGAGCACTTCAACCAATTATTTTCTTCTAAAAATTTAATACAACTCAGCTAAGGTCGTCCGTCATTAATGTTAGTATATGTAATAAAAGGTATTTTTATTATTAGTTATTTTTTAAATTTAATAAATCAAATTTGTTTGAATTTATAATAGTTAATAAATTTAATTTATTTGAATTTGTTAAATTTTTTTTAATTTTTTTTTTAATTTTTTTTTAATTTTTTTTAAATTATTTTAATATTCATAATATTAATTATACTATATACAGTAGTTGCTTACATTTTCAGCTAGAAAAATAAATGATGTGAACTCGACGTAAAATCTTTGACATTGTTGTTGTTTCAGCTTTTCTTATCTCTGTGCTTGCGTTTTATTTAATCTTTTATTAATATTTACTTTTTTAAAACTCAATTTGCACTTCAAATTTTCAACATTCAAATTATTTACATTTCCAAAACGAGAATAAATAAAACCTTTCTTATATTAATAAATATTTTTATTCAACAAAAGCAAATAAATGGAATAACAAAACGAATGTTCTTTTCGAAATATTGCACTTTCTGAATTTTTAGTTATTAAAATAACTGCACATCAAAATAATTTTTATTTTTGCATATTAATAAATTTATAAATTATGAAAATTTTTGAATTTTTCAATTTTTAAAACTTTTTGAAATTTTAAAACATTTTTGTTAAACAAAAATAAACAAAAACACACACGCAAACCGTCGTCGTCCACAAATGCAAAATTGAGGAATTGACAGAAATTTTCGACTTTTCGATTTGTACTTTAAGTTCATTTATAAATTATTATATATATGGTATATATTATATATATTTTATATATATTTTTTTTTTGAATTTTTTTTAAATAAAAATAATGGCAACACGCGATTTGTTTTGTTAATCGGCCGACTCGATAAATTCGTTTAGCACGCGTCGTTGTCTGCAAGAGTTGCGTCTTGTCAGTGCCACAGTCGTAGATACAATCAAGTCGGTCAGATAGTTGGCATAGACCAACAGTTGCTCAGCGTCACACAACTACGAAAGATACTTCCTATTTACAATTTACACTGGAGGTGGAAACAAGCCGCACAGAAGCGTTGCTGATGTTACCGTAACGAGCGACATTCGCATATTAACTTGACATTTGTAGACGTTGCGTTGGTTTTATTTTCCAAAATCGTTGAAAATGTTGCTCCGGCATATGCTCAACGTACCGCGTCGCCTCAGTACGCGTGATACAAACTTTTATTCTCTTGCACGAGATACTTTATACTTTATACTTTGCTTTGCCTTGCCTTGCCTTGCCTTGCTTTGCTTGTTTGCATACACTTTCATATCTCATAATAAATATACAATAATACGATATTTTATGAGCGCTTCGCTACTGAGCTGCTCAAGCACTGAGATTAATTCATAAACTGCGCTGATGTTGTTGATGTTGTTGATGTTGCCTCAGCAACCGTTGTTGAAATGTTGTTCAGACGAGTGCATATTCCGCAGTCCTGAAATGCCGTGTGTGGGTGAGCTATTACAATCAATTTAGCTCACTAACCAATATGAACAAATTATTTACTAAATAATTGCAATTATCTATAATATGATAAACCGCGTTTATACGAGTAGTAAGTAATGATTTAGATTAGAAGAAATTCGAGTTCCACATATAGTAATTTACTAGTATAGAAATTAAACGTCAACCTCGTACTTATGTCTACATAAACTGAATAATATCCGTAAATTGCAAGCATTCTATGTTATACAAATTAAGCGCCTAAATTATGGAGGAAGCAGAAGAATAGATGAAATATTTATATTACCACCTCGAAGCTTTATTCAGACAAAACTCAGTATATCTATGAAATAAGATTATTACTACAACCAAATTAATTAGTCGGAGAGTGAGAAAAATGGTACCGAACCAAAGGACTCAATAAATCCTAATAATAAATATAAAAGTAAAAGCGATTAGTATAAAAAGTATAATTAGTAAAAGCAAACATTAAGCCAAAGTATGAAATAGATTGTTTTTAAACTGTGTATTATATCAATATTTTACGATATAATTCTTCCAAATATAATTCTTCTTTGTGAGACTAAATTGTTCATCTTAAATTAGAGCTAAAATCAAATATTTATCTCCACTTTGACTTTTGCTAAATATAGTAAAATATTTGCTTGAAAATCAAGAGATAACTCTCCAAATTTATTTTTTTTACTTTTATTTTTTTTTTTTTTTTTTAATTTTGACGCATATTTTTTTTATTAAGCAGACTAAGTATTGCCGCCTTCTATATCGTTTTCTTTTTTTGGATTGAATTTTTTTAGACACAAATTTTAACAAAATTTCCTCTAACTTTGATAATTTGGCCAGCAATTAAATATTACAGTTCTACGACTATGAATATTTTTTGTAGATGAATTGAAGTTCATATTAACACAAATGAATATAATATAATTAAATGAATCAAATATACAATTGTTCAATAGATAATATCATATCAATAATGTCAAAATTGTTATAATTGCTATTAATCAAGCACTTAGAAACTAGATGAACAGCGTTTTCGAATGTTTAAGACTATATCTTAAGAGTGATTCACTCTATGCTTATCCAGAACTGAAATCGTTTTTTATTCGGGACACTAATGTTTTTAAATATTCCAAAAAAAAAATACTCAACCAGTCTGCAACTGCATTTCTAAAGATAAATTTGTCGAAATACCCGCGCTTTAATTATAATAATTCATTCTGGTATATGCTATTATTATATAGTCGTTCAAAATGGTCATTTAGACCATTTTCATATACTTTCAGAACAAAAAATTGTTGGTCGTAGATCTGTTTCGAACGCTTTTGACAGTTATATTTCAATATTCTTATTTTTTTAACAAATACAGTCACTAATACGGTCAAACAACACAGAAAAATTATTTATTTGACGCATCGATAACAAACTACTTTGAAAACTTCTTTACTTCAAATATAACAATTTTTCATTAAATCTAAACTACTAAGATAAAAAGGGGGCTCTAGACTGCCAACGGTGACAGCAAGCCACT